ACAATATTGTAGAAATTCTTAGTCATGTGAACCAAATAAAATTCTGCTATTGGCCAACGTTTTCTGACGTCGATCATAAACGGCCAGACAGCAGTAGCCGTTCGCCATGTTCACATAACAAAGCATGGTACATATACGAGTACCTATAACACATTATTATATTATAAGCACCGATGCGTTTGAGAAAATTTTAATAATAAATTCTATTGGTGGTAAGTACATTTAATATTGTTTCTGAATAATTTATCTTTAGATAACTAATTTAAATAACCTTAGTAGATTATTTTAAAAAAATAGTTGTGGCCAACGACCGAATGTTGTGCCCAACGATCGAATTTTGTGCCAAGTTCAATGATATTTTTTTGTCTTAATTGTGACATACCTACTTTCTCATTTTTGTTAGTTATCTGACTTAGTCATTTAATATCCAAATCAGTGTAAAGGTGATAAATATTTTATTTTCATAAAACGCAATACATTTTTAATATAAATTCATACAATGAATAGCAAAAATTATAACAATTTGTAGAACAATTCTTATGATGCATTTGGATATTTTTACTAAATATTGTAGATAATAACTCTACAATACATTCTCCACAAATATTTGGAAATTTTTACTACAAATTGTCCCTGTCCCTATATGTACTATTTATTGTAGAGAAAAAATCTACAATTGTAGAAATTTGTTCTACAATTTTTTTTCCGTGCAAGTATTTACTGCTTAAAGTAGCTTTGATAATGGGAGTTTCAGGAGGCTGCATAATTTGCGAACTGGTAGTGATGTCCACTAATGATGTTGACGACAGAGGAAGTGTATTAGTGGTGAAAATTCCCGACATGCAATTGATGTGTTTCAGAAATATAAGAAATTGCGCCCGCAAAATGTACCACATACACGACTATTCCTAAACTATAAAAATGAAAAATGCACGGTACAGCCTGTAAGTTTCAACACAATTTCCAAAATGCCTCAGAAGATAGCAGAGTTTCTTGGCTTAGAAAATGCGGGAGACTATACTGGACATAGTTTTAGACGATCCTCTGCCTCTTTGCTGGCGGAAGCAGGCGCCGATTTATCGATATTAAAAAGACATGGATGATGGCGTTCTGACTCAGTTGCTGAAGGATATGTTAAACAGTTTATAAGAAATAAAATAGAAATTTCAAGACAAATATTGGGTAATGAAGTTGCAGTAGGTGCACCTGAAAAAGCTGGGACAGTAGCCAATAATAAATATATTATACCGGAGAATACATTACAAATTTCCAATTTAAACAATGAACCCATCGCCATCGGTACAAACATCAATTCTAACAATGGACCCATCCATTCAAACGTAGTTTCTAATGTTTCAGAGCAACTAACTATTCCATTAAAAAACGAAATGAAGCTCCAGTTTAATAATTTAAATAACTGTAACTTTTATTTTGATTATAAAAAATAATTATGCGAAGATAGTTTCCATTGTGGTTTCCATTAAGTATTATTGTTTTCATTGTTCCCATAATCATTGTTACAAGTTGATTTTTATAATAAAACTTTTAGACTGATTCCATTGTTTATTATATTGGCTTTACATAATATATGCACACATGCCTAAAGAGTGCTAATATCGATACCTTAATAGCGACTTCCACATTTGGCTGTCGACAGTAATATAGGTACATTTTTAGGTTAACTAATAGTGACTTAAAAAAATTTTAACTCACTCTTTTAGTTGCTAATGAATAAAACTTTATTTTTCTACACCCGTATTATAATAATGCACTTATATGCCCATAATCCGTTTCATAATGATACCCATTATGATACAGATTTTTCATTACGATACAGATTTTTAATCAATAGAAACCTACAATTTTTCAATCAAGCATGCTGTTTGACGTTTGTCCTAGGTTCCTATGTAATTATTTTAGTTGTCAAAACGTATTAAATTTTCGTAGGTAGCTAAACTTCGATAATTATAATATTAAAATGTCTGATATAAGCGATATAGAAGACTCCTCCACACATATCGGAGAAAGCAGAAAATACAGTACAAAATATTTTACCGCAAAAATCTAGGGAAATACCAATACCTGAAGTAATACCATTAATTACAATTTTGTAGAATTTTTTATAGAAATACGAGTAATTACTGTTATTGTGTTCAATACCAATATAAATATAATATTTATAGGTCTTGATTATTTATCGGGTGTAGAAAAAATAGCGTATGCAACTCTCATGTAATGGTTATTACATGATCGTTGCATAATATACTATTGTTATTGTTGTTATGGAATTAATAAAGTCATTTTAATGTGTCAAAATTGGATAAGAAAATATATCATCATGTGGGGGGTAAATAAAAGAGGTCGATTTGGTGGTTTTTAGCTAGTTGACTTCCGGCTAACAATCCGTTTCGTACACCAATTTTGTTCTGCATTTGCGGTATTCCTTTATAATTGACTTATTGTTTAATACAACTTATGTGCCTAGATCATTTTATCTATTTCTTTTTAACATAATTCTTACATGACTAACTAAATTCGAGCCACACATGGCGGCGATTGCGTTTTGGCGGCCTTAAGAGTCCTGCTTGCCATATATATTTATAGCCCAATCGGATTAGTATTTTAGATTCTGAAAAATTCGAAGCAGCAATTTTCCTTCGGAATTCGTTGGAGGGGGTCTCTGGTAGTCTAAATTCAAAAAGTTGGGATTCCAAAGTTGTCGTTACCTCCGCCATCTTGATTTAAAGGGTTATTTTTTGTATCTTGAATAACTCATTTATTTTCAATTTTACACGGAAAATAGTTTTTACAAAAGTTATTTAAAATTAAATATCCTACAATTCTGCTTTTTTTTGTACGATCGATTTTTTTCGATTTATACCCGAAAAGAGGAGGTGAATTTTTGGTTATAGAATAACTCGTTTATTTTCAATTTTACGAGAAAAATTGGTATAAAAAAAGTTGTTTAAAATTAAATTTCCTACAATTCTGCTTTTTTTTGTACGATCGATTTTTTTCGATTTATACCCGAAAAGAGGGGGTGAATTTTTTGTTATAGAATAACTCGTTTATTTTCAATTTTACGAGAAAAATTGTTATAAACAAAGTTGTTTAAAATTAAATTTCCTACAATTCTGTTTTTTTTGTACGATCGATTTTTTTGTATTTATCCCTGAGAAGAGTGGGGGTAAACTCTTAGAAAAAATCGGAATCATAATTGTACCAAATAACATTTTTGAAAATCAGCAAAAAAAAAAACAAACAGAAAAAATAATGGTACAACATCAATAATAAACGTGACAATACAATACTTAGGTTCACCCCCACTCTTCTCAGGGATAAATACAAAAAAATCGATCGTACAAAAAAAAAATAGAATTGTAGGAAATTTAATTTTAAACAACTTTGTTTATAACAATTTTTCTCGTAAAATTAAAAATAAACGAGTTATTCTATAACCAAAAATTCACCCCCTCTTTTCGGGTATAAATCGAAAAAAATCGATCGTACAAAGAAAAAGCAGAATTGTAGGAAATTTAATTTTAAACAACTTTGTTTATAACAATTTTTCTCGTAAAATTGAAAATAAACGAGTTATTCTATAACCAAAAATTCACCCCCTCTTTTCGGGTATAAATCGAAAAAAATCGATCGTACAAAAAAAAGCAGAATTGTAGGAAATTTAATTATAAATAACTTTTGTAAAAACTATTTTCCGTGTAAAATTGAAAATAAATGAGTTATTCAAGATACAAAAAATAACCCTTTAAATCAAGCTGGCGGAGGTAACGACCACTTTGGAATCCCAACTTTTTGAATTTAGACTACCACAGACCCCCTTCAACGAATTCCGAAGGAAAATTGCTGCTTCGAATTTTTCAGAATCTCAAGCCTGTTCTTCACCTAATCCGATTGGGCTATCAGTGTTTTGACCATAACGTCCTTATTTTTAAAAATATATTTTTTTAGTTTCTACTGATCGATTGGTAAATTTTTTACAATTGGCGCGTGTTTTTACATTTTTGAAAAAAAAAAACATGATGTTTTTATTTTCTAAACTACGATAAAAGTTAAAATTATAAAAAACACGCTCCTTTACAAGTAAAATTTATATCCGATTTAAAAACCAGAGAATTTTTTCTCGCGAAATAAGGGAGATATCAAAATTAAATTTAAATAATTACCACTGATTTTTGCTGTCATCGCAAAACCCAGCGGATTTTTTTAGAACTAAGTTATACGTAGACCATCAGGGACGGGATTCTCAGTATATACACTGGAAAACATAACATTGAAAGTGCTAAGCATAGATATTTTATTGAAACACATACAATTAACGATCTCGTAATTATCATTATTACGGATCATATAAATAATAAGGCTACGTTAATTATTAGGTACTTATATACTAAATTTAACGAATACAATGCTAAAATGCATGTATTTTATTACGATACAATTTTCCTTAACAAAAAATATTATTTTCGTTTTCGGCATGTAATGAAACAAACCGCTAAAGGAACAACGCAAATCACATAGAAAACTACATTTAAAAAATAGTATACTAAAATATATTAATGTATTATGACGTAATTTGGTTAACTAAAAATTAAACACTCTATGTTTGGTTTTGAAAATAAAAATAAAAATCAATGTTTCGGGGAAAAAAGCTAGCTATACTGGGTATTAAAAATAAATTATAAATCTAAATTCTTATATTCATAACAATTGGCGCCCAACGTGGGGCGAGCAAAATATAGAGTGATTTTAAGAACTTTCTTCTAATAATTTGCCATATAAAATTATTTTAATAATAAATATAATACAGGGTGTGTTATTATTATTGAAACATGGCAAGTAGGATGACTTAAAGAGATGGAAAGGAGATTGGTGAAGCAGGTAGTGATGAGGAGACGTTAGGTGGAAATAGTCAGATAGTGCAAGTAGATTATGATAGGAGTTTCGTATCAGGGTATTGTGTAATTCAGTGCATATAACAGGGGAGATCAAACCAGGAACAGGTTGTCGATAGGGACGAGAGTTTTGGAGATTTGAGAGAGGAGCTGGATCGTACAGTAGGGAGTAATGGGAAAGAATTGGAAAGTGAAAGGCAGGGCGAGAGAGAAGGAGAAGGTATTAGTAGTCAGGGACTGCAGGTGAGACCACAGGTGGGAATGTTTGAGATTATGCAGCAGCTGATTTTTATGAATGAAAATATTAAGGGGAATATGAATATTATGAGGGAAAATTTGGAAAGGAAAATAGATGAAGTGAAAAATAGAAAGTTTAACAGAAATTAAAAAAATTAGGCAAGAGAATGAGGAGTTTAGAATACAGATTACACAAGTGAGAGAAGAGGTCAAGGAGCAAAATAAGAAGTTACGGGCAGAAATAGAGGAAAAAGGGGTTAATATTAGGTTGGAGATAGGAAAAGATGTGAAAGAAAAAGGTAGTGAGTTAAAAAGAAATATTGAGGAAGATTTGCTAGGAGAGATTCAAATAGAGGTGACTAAACAGACTGATATGTTGAATAGGCAAATTGGGCACATGAAGTTACAGGGACAGGTACATGAAAAGGCCATACTTAATTGTAAAGAAATTGTTGATAAGGAGATAGAAAAATTAAACGGGATAGTAGAGGAACAATCAATAAGTTATACTAAAAGATCTGAGATAGGAGAAACAGATTTTAGGAGGGGAATAGAGGAGATGAATAGGAAAATGCAAAACAGAACAGAGGACATTTTAAGAATAGAGGAAAATTTAAGACAAAATTCAACAGAAGGTTTAACTGTAGTACCCAACTACATTGATGGGGCATTAAGTTTGATGGAAATATAAATAACATCCATCCTAAAGTTTTTGTAACAGTAATTCAAAACAAACTCAAAAATGTCAGAGATTTAGTTAAAAAAAAATTGATTTTTAGAAATATGTCAACTGGGCTTCCTCTGTTGTGGTATTGCAATAAAGAGATTAGGAAAATATAAATTTGTGAAATATATTAAATTTTATTTCGTTTTATTATATAATTACAATTGCAAAGTTCTGAAATAGAGTTAAAAAGATTTTAATGTTACATTTTGTTAATTATGATTCTGTTAAAAATGCTAAATTTAATTTCATTTCAATATTTGTTGCAAGGAGTTGAATAATTTTAATTTGAAATTAATTGAATTGAATTTTGTTTTAATTTGCTATTGTTATTTTTGTTGTTGTAAGAATGAGAGTATGAGTGAATATGGAATGTTAGGTATCAATAATTTGGATAGATGGGAAAAAGAAAAATTTTGATCATTTGAAAATTTGGTATTCAATAATTTATTTGGAAATAAATTAGTTAAATACAAAATTTTGGGGGATTTATGACGTAATTTGGTTAACTAAAAATTAAACACTCTATGTTTGGTTTTGAAAATAGAAATAAAAATCAATGTTTCGGAAAAAAAATGTCAATTTTGAAGTTTTTTAGAAAATGATTGTTGATTGTCAGTGGGGATAAGAAATGTCAGAGGGGAATTTTTGTAAAATATAAAATATTGGTTTCATTTCTTTCCAAAATAAGATTAATATATTAGAATACTGAAGGATTGTTAATTGGAAGATTATAATAAAGAAAATATATAAAAGTAGAAGGTAAAGAAAATTTTATTTAAAATAAAGAGTAAACGAAAACTAGTAAGGCGAGATAGCAGTAATAAGGCAGGAGGCAGAACGGTAGGAGCAAAAATAGATAGGTAGCAGAAGGAGATTAAACAAAAAGCAAGGCAAGATAGCAGAAATAAAGGCTTGCGGTTGAACAATAGTAGTGTAAGGAGAGGGAAGTGTAGACAAGGCTGAGAAGAAGAAGACGACAATAAAAAATAATATAATTTCTAAATTATTTTTTTTTTTTAATTTTTAGTCTAAAGTACAATACATTGTGATCAAATCAAACATAGAGGGAATAGGTAAATTGATATTTGGAAGTAAAAAGTTACAGAAATTTCGTAGGTGAGTGTAATTTTTTTATTTTTATTTTCTTTTGATTATCTAAATTATTGATAGTGAGAAATATAAGTGAGAGAACCCAACCCTAAATTCTAATATAAATATTCATCATCTAATAAAAAAGTTATATAATTACTGAGCTAGCTATACTGGGTATTAAAAATAAATTATACATCTAAATTCTTATGTTCATAACAGTATATACCAGGTGTCCCATATGTTTCTGGATAATTGATGTAAAGGATAAAAGTGTTTTACCTGATGAACTCAAATTAACCTCTTGTAAAACTACCTGCTAGAAAGGATGCACGTTTGGAAAACAAGAAAGTCTGGGATCGACTCCCGGCGACAGGTTTTTTTTTAATATTCAAGTATTTTTTTCACCTGTGTGGTCCTGGGGGGGTCTTGATAATTCGTAGGGGATTACTGGGATTTGTTTCCGAATTTTAAAATAATTTCAGACACTTATTTTTCAGATATACTGATTTTTCGAATTTCTATTTGCGATTTCTCGATAATAAATTCACAATTTTTAAAAAGTTAGTTTATTTAAATAAAAATCCAGTACTTAATTAATAATATCTAATTCTAATTTAATTTAAGAAAATCACGTCACAGCTTCGTAAAATGAAACGAGAAAATCTAAAAAGAAATAATTTCGAAATACTTACTTATCTACCTTTTTGCCGAATTTTAATTGTAGACTTTTCTATGAATTTTATGTTTTTTTGAGACATGCAGTATGCTTCTACTCTCTTATAAAACGTTCATAACTGATCTAAAAAATACTTAATATGCAAGCCATTTTAGCTATCTATATTACCTAAATAATGAACCAAACAAAAAAAATATTTCAAGAATAACTTTCCATCTCTTTCCAAAACACAGTCAACCGGCCAAAAAATGAATCTCCCACCCATCCCAAAAATCATTTTCTAACGATTTAGTATAAATGAGATGTGGACGTGGATTTACAAAATACAGAATATAGCGTGCAAAGTTCAAGCGAATAATTAATTGTCAATGTTGCTACTATTTAATTCCCTGTGTATTTGAAACCCACGTCATTTCGTCTTCTGTTTGCACTTTAAACAATCAAAACTATATCTCAATACAGTGCATGTGTTGGATGTTGGGAACGATTCGAGTTGCTTGGTTTTAGATCCATCGAGGAGTGCCTGAACTAAAATGTTGGTAAAACAGGGTTTGCCGCGTATATTATTTGAAATTTTAGCTTGTATTTTATTTCTCAATTTTCTCCGTTTATACATTAATTTGAGAATTGGTTTTAACGTAATGTTATTTGATTAATAATAGAGTATTAGCTTGAACCCTTGAAGAAATCGTATTACATTTTTTTTATAATTGCTTAAATTTATATTTTTATTATTATCAAAGTTACATTATTTATATTGGCTCTGATTTATTTCAAAAGCTTTTACCAAATATTAGCTCTTTAATTTGTATATTTTTCAAATTTATTAGAAAATATAATTAAATGCAATTAAACGCCTTAAGAATTTTCACTTGCATTTTATAAAAATTACCCTACATTTACCAGCTTTAGGAAGCAGACGAAATATAAGAGAAGGGTTACTTTTTTTTTCAGAGCTGCGTTGAGGTGCACAAATATGTTTTTCACTGATACTCCACTTATACTCCAAATAATATAATATTTTAATATAATATGATAAAAATTTAATGCATTAGCTTATTATTAAATAAGATATTTCAAACAAAAAATTTAAAATAACATTTATGGCCTGATAAACAATAAATAAAATTTGACAAAACACAGATCGTCAAGTGTCAAATGGGCACAACATTTAGTTCATTAGTTCACAGTATCGCTTATCCCAAATAACTTGCTTTTTATATATTTGATTGAGCATAATCATTATGCTATTATAATTAATAAATAAAAGAATATGTGAATTTGTGTCACTTTTTTATTCACTATTACCTACTTATTTCTTGCCTACGGCCCGCGACCTTTTTTTAAGCACAAAGCGAATGAAACGTTATTTTTTTTTAATTTTCACATGTATAGTAAAAATTTTTGAAATCGCAGCAAGTGTCAAAATGATCTACTTTACGCAACCAGTTGCATATTATGAAACTGGTTGAGAAAAATTCATTATGTAACCAGTTGCAAAAGGAAAAGAGTTGAAAATAACCTTTTTTTGTTTTTAAAATTAATCAGTTATTTACATTGATATTGAACGTTTGTATCAAAGAAGAGCAGGTTGACTCATAAATTTGGTTAAAATTACAACCTAGTAATAATGTCGTTTTGTTCCTTATTTTTTATTCCAAATCAGCCATAATAACCCACTTTTATAAAAACTAAATAACTTTAAAAAGCAATATAAACACACAAAAGGTCGTTGAGAATAGATTAATAAGATTTTCCATTTGTTAATGCAATGAATGAAGTTAGGCATATGCAACTAACAATACAAGAAAGTAATTTTGTTTGCGTAGATGTCAGTAATGTTTTACCAAAAATATTATATGTACGAAATCCCATTTTATGTGACTCGTTCATGTTATGTGACCTCGCTCTGCTCGTCCCATAAATATTTAATCATTACATTAAATAAGGCACTTCGTAACTGGTTACACAAATAGATATTACCTAATTTGAAAATTTGTGTTTTAATATTAAAAATTAGTTTTAAGTAGTATCATTCATGACTATTTAAAAAATTATTAATTAACAATTAGGGGTTAGAACATATCCATAGCTTTTAAATTTTTGTGTACAGTCGCCATAAATATTATTTTTTTCTCCTTTTTCAAATAAAGGTTTAATTATGGCTATTTTAAATTTCGTTTGAAATAATCCGCTAAACGATTTGTTCATCATATATGCAAAATGCTTTACGATTTCGATTATTATTTTTTAATGGTTTCATTAATACCAAGCTTTGTTATTTTTAAGGGAATTAATAGTGTCTAGCATTTTTTTATCGTTTGTATCAAAGAGGAAAAACGAATTTTGAATTATATTTTTATTTTTCTGTCTGAATACATATAAAAGTACAGGAATTATTATTTTTTTCGACATTAAGTTTTCGACGGATTTTTACGTTTTGGTTTCCCCTAAATCAGTTTTGACATTTTTTCGAAACACCAAATGTTAAATTTAAGCTTTAATCCATCCTTCGGTAAGATTTTTTTAGAATATGGGCATAGTCGAAACATCTGGGGAGTACTTTATAGAGGGGCCGTTTTTCTACTTTATGGAATATAATTGTTATTTACGTTTGGAGATAAAATTTTTCAAATAAAGTTGCCCGTGATGTAATTTTCTTTAATTTTTGTTTTATATATAATTTTTCCAAAATGATCCGTATTTGTGAAATTTAACAAACATTAAAAAATTATAATTTTTAAGAAAATTTTTCCAATAGAAGTTGCTTGTGATATGAATCTGTAACGTGAGGGGGGTGGCTTGCCCCACGGTACTTAGACACCTCCTAGCTCAAGTGCAGAGATAACAGCTTGCGATCCAAACTACAAATTTATTGTACTTGGCAACGCTGCCAGGAGGTGCTTCTCTTATATCGGGTGATGTTAGCCGATACTTGCCAAACAAAAAACTTCTAATAAATGAGAGCGTAGCGTAAGGCACTCGTAGAGTATATGGTCAATCGTCTGATCTTCTTGTTCGTACCTCCTGCAGATTGCGAATTCTGACAGCCTCATGCAATGGAGATGCTTCCGAACTTGGCAATAAGCAGTCGGATTAGGCGCAGATTCTGTCTAGGCATAGTCAAGTATTTGTTTGCTGTAGTGTTGTCAGGATAACATAGAAGCTTTCCATTTCTGAAGCTTCTTGTTTCATC